AAAAAAAAAAAAAAAAAAAACCCTAAGAAGGGCTGATTTTTGCCTGCACTGGGTTCCTGGGCGATTTGCCCAGGTTGCACGGCCGGGCGAGCCAAGTAGCCTACAAGTTTTTTATATATTTTTTTAGTACTTCTCAGCTTTAAATTTTTATTTTTTTCCCTCTTTCTCTTCCCATTGAAGGATTTTTCCTATTTTGGCACTTGAGGACGAAGTCCGAGGAACACCTACGGGGATGTACCTCACTGAAGCTCACTCAGGCTGGGCATCCGGCCTGGGGGGGTAAAGTGTGGGAAGGGATCATTACTTGGACAAATAGAAATCTGTATTTATTTTTTTTTTTTTTTTTCTGATGAAGATAATATCTGGATTTTCACAAAATCAGAAAAATCTTTACTAAAAAAAAAAAAAAAAAAAAAAAAAAAAAAGAAAAAAAGAAAAGAGGAGATATCAGACATGAATGGCACACTACTACAAGTGTAACACAGTATCTGTTGCGCTCAAATCGTGATGGAATCAGATCAAAATTATCGAATACAGTAGTGTTCCGGGCTACCCCTCTTTTTCAGACATGTCAACATCAAATGAATACAATAATGTTAGGGGCTAGACGAGAGGAGGGGGGGGGGGGAGGAGGGAGGAGACAATAATGTTAAGGGCTGAAAAAGAAAATGACATGTGTCTGTGTCAAGCAGCGGCCATAGAAGACCGCGCAAGTGTGAGTGCCCTGCTTACCTTTGTGATTTCCTGGGTGTGAGGCTTGAACCGATGAATCACCTTCACGCCACCTGAAGAATTGACGGCTAGCAGTCTCAATACACCTGTCCTTGATCCCAGCCCCAGTAGACCCTTTCAGACACAAGGATGGATTACACCAAACGAACAGGAAGTTAGGAACTGAATCTGAGGGTCCCAAGGAGAAAAACGTGTGCATCGAATTCAGGTTGGTTTGAAAATAAGAGAGAAACAAAGAGAAGGGAAAACAAGGTGTGTGTGTGTGTGTGTGTGTGTGTGTGTGTGTGTGTGTGTGTTATAGATTTTCCCCACAACAGTGATACATGCTCAGCTGAGCGGTGTATATGGAGCCAAGGATCCACAAAGTGAAGAAAAGGACTCGAATGGACAATGCGCCGTCAGCAAAGCATCAACAAGAAATGTACATCCAGATACATAAGAAAATAGCACAATGTAGCGCAACGGAAGACTCAAAGATATGACCTGACCTGTCAGATACTGACGCGACACCCCATCATACACCACACATGTGAGAGAGAGGGAAGGACCACATACATGGAAGAAAGGTCCCTCCTTGTTACATGCTGAGCCTGCACATAGGCCACATCTCAGGGGCCCGACGGTTGCTGACAGGCCCCCAGGCCGTGTGCCCATCAGACACGCGCCCTGAAGGGCCACGGTGCCCCCCAGGCCGCAGGTGTCGTTTACAGGCAGCATTTATTTATTTATTTACTTATTTGTTGTCCTATTTTTATCTGTGCAGACGTCGATTCGGACTTGCAGGCCCCAAGGCTACGCCTTGGGCTGGGTACGCAGGAGCGCGGCCGTTTTTAGGCCAGGCGCGTTTTTGCGCCTTGCTGCATCAGCAGCATGGTCTGGACGCCCGGTAGGGGCCCGGACCGAGTGGGCCATTTGAGGCAGCATCAGAGGCGCGCCCAGCCAGGCCCAGTGCTACTTATAGCTGGGCAGTGGCTGGGCACACACACAGTTCGAGTAGCTCACTTCTTGGGCAACATGCTACTGGACCAGCACCGCGCGCGACAGCGCTGCGCTGCGCTAGAGGTAGGGGAGTAGGTAGGGAGACAGGGCGGAGGCCATACCTGCAGCATTCGCGTACGTACCTGGGTGCCATAGCTGGATCTGGCTCCAGCGACCTGCAGCACAGCGTATGCCGACAACGTCAGTACTTGGCAGCAGTTACCTGCAGGTGAGACAGTGAGGAGGATGACATCATCATCTTCTTCTTCTATCTGTTCTCGCCCTCCTCCCCTCTTCTTCCTCCTTCCTTCTTCTTCTTCTTCTTCTTCTTCTTCTTCTTCTTCTTCTTCTTCTTCTTCTTCTTTCAGAGAGAGAGAGAGAGAGGTTACTGGCAGAGGTTACTTCGGGAATGAGGCCCATGATCTGATCCAACATTTTTGGTGGCAGACATTAATTGGACTTTCGACAGGGGGACTATTTTGGATTTCGCTATCGCAGTCTTGTCTTCTCCCTCACCTCCATCTTCGTCTCGCCTCTCCCCCCATTTCTCATCCGTGGTATCTTCCCCATGTGCGTATCCAAGGAGGGGCCTTTCGTCTATGTATGCGGTCCCTCCTCTCTCTCTCACATGAGTGATGTATGATGGGATGTTGCGTCAGTATCTGACAGGTCAGGTCCTATCTTTGAGTCTTCCATTGCGCTACTTTGTGCCATCTTTGTATGTATCTAGATGTACACTGCCGTTGATGCTTTGCTGACACTGCATTGTCCAGTCGAGTCAATTTCATCACTTTGCGGATTCTTGGCTCCCCGTGCATTGCTGAGCATGTATCACTCCTTGAGCACGCACATGGGGAGATACCACGGATGAGGAGATAGGGGAGAGGCAAGACAAAGATGGAGGTGAGGGAGAAGACCAAGATCGTGATAGCGAAGTCCAAAAATAGTCTCCCTGCCGAATGTCCAATCAATGTCTGCCACAAAATGTCGACTCAGATCCTGGGCCTCATGGCCCGATGTAACCTGTCTCTAACCTCTCTCTCTCTCTCTCTCTCTCTCTCTGAAGAAGAAGAAGAAGAAGAAGAAGAGAAGGAGGAGGGAGGAGGAAGAAGAGAAGGAGGAGGGAGGAGGAAGAAGAGATGGAGGGTGAGACGAAGAATAAGGAGAAGATGTCGTCCTCCTCGCTGTCTCACCTGCAGGTTGCTGCCACCATGTACTAACTGCCGTCGGTGTCCCTGTGCAGGTCGCTGGCGTGGAACACAGCTATGGCGCCCAGGTAAGTACCGCCGCTGCAGATATGGCCTCCGCCTCACCTCCTACCTATGCCTCTACCTCTAGTGCAGCGCCGTGTCGCCCAAGAAGTGAGCTACTCGAACTGTGTCTGCCCTGGCCTGGCCCATCTATATGTAGCGCTGGGCCTCACTGGTGTGCCTCTGGTCCTTGGCCTGAAACGGCCTGCCTGGGTCCCTACCGGACGTCCAGGCCCTCCCTGCCGATGCAGCAGGGAGTGTCCGCTACTAGACGAAAATGAACCTGGCCCGAAAGGGCCTGGCCACGAATGGAGAAGGCCCAAAACGTGGCCTTGGTCCGAACAGCCCGTGTGTCTGTTCGGACGCACTGCAAGTCCGAAACGATGCCTGGGTCAGACTGCTCTCGCCGAGAACAGTCCGAATCCACAAAGATAACAGTGAACTCAAACTTTTTTTTGGTGGGGAAGGGGGGGGGGAGGGGGGAGAGAGGGTGTCAGGGGGTTTATGGTGGGGGTGGGGTTCTTAGTGGCAGTGTTACAGAAGGCATGGGCATCAACAAACCTGGCCATCATCAAACGTGGACAACAGCATACCTGTAGCATCAAGCACCATGGAAAACACCATACCCCTCCCCACAAACAGCAAACATGACAAAACATGGACATTGGCATGCATTGTCGCACTGGCAGTGCAATCAACAGACGGAGAAGATATTGCGACGACGACGACGACGACGACGAAGAAGAAGAAGAAGAAGAAGAAGAAGAAGAAGAAGAAGAAGAAGCAGAGGAAGAAGAAGCAGAGGAAGCAGAAGAAGAAGAAGAAGAAGAAGAAGAAGAAGAAGAAGAAGAAGAAGACACGATTCCTCTCTCTCACCCCTGTCCTGCAAAGGCTGCATAAGGTGGGAAGGTGCAGGCCTTTGAGGGGGTAGGGGCGGGAATACGAGGGTTTGCTCTATTATGGGGCCAGGGCTGATTGTTGGGGTGCGATTAGACCTGGTGGGGGCAGATAGAAACAAGGGGCACTGTTTTCAGGGGTGTGTGGTGTCAAGTGGGCTGTTTCATTTGGAGAGGGTGGGATGGAGGGAATGCGGGAACTGTGCCGCAGGGGCTTGGCGGGAAATGTATGCCCCCTTGAGGGTGCAGGGGTGACCGTTTACGGGGGCTCGTCCTGGGCCGGCGCCAGTTCGCAACATCATCCTTCTTAACGTTGCCTCTTCAAGTAATTCTTCTTTAACCTTCCTTCCTTAGCTATCAACCTTCACAAGAAAGTTCTGCAAGAACCCCTAAACCCCAAACCCTTCAAATTGCCTTTTCGACAAGAGCACCGGTTCCCCACCGGTTGCAAACTGCGCAATTCGCTGTGGGGCGGGGGTCAATTTTTTTGGGGGCCGGGAGGCCTCCATGTAGGTCGTGGAGGCCTCCCGGCCCCCCAAAAAAATCAACCAGGTCCGGTAGGCCCGCCAGATTATTGAAAAACTGGCGGCCTATTTGGGCCGTCGATCTGGTGAGATCTGCGGCCCAGATAGGCCGCCCATTTTTGAACATTCGGGCGGGAAACCACCCGAAGTTCTTGGCAGCGATCCAAACCTTCCCCAGGCACAGCCCCCACCACCCCACCTCCTGCCTCCAGCTGCTTTCGAGCAGCAGGACCCGTCACTTCGACACTTCGTTGAAAGTGAACGAGGTCGAGACTGCGTCAGCCCCCCCACGTCCGCCCCGGCCTCAGAAGGTAAGTCTTCCTTTGTTGTTCTCTGTTTCTTCTTCTTCGTACTATCTTCTTCTTCTGGCAAAGTCGAAGTCGGAAGTTTGCAAAGTAGAGAGAGAGAGAGAGAGAGAGAGAGAGAGAGAGAGAGAGAGAGAGAGAGAGAGAGAGA